CCAAGTATTACTCTTAGTAGGGATAACATTCATAGATTTTTTTAAATAATGGCCTCATCCATCTCACTGGGGAAACTGCTGACGGCTAGGTTTACCCATCCTTTGCAAAGATGAGAGTGGCTAAACTTAGGCCACTCTTACAGGTGTCGTCAATCTTGCAAAAGCTTGATAATGAACTGAAAATGGATTATCATTTTTCATTCATTTAATTTTTTCCATTTGGGGAACATAATAACGGGAAGGAATAGTGTATAAATAGTGGCAAGTAAACCTAAGGGGCCCTGTCTGGTCCTTTTCTGTTCTTTAAGTATTGCCCGCATTTTGCATGAAGTGTGACAGTTTCTGTCATGAATCAGTGCTCACAGAGTTGAATAAGGTCAGAACCCTGCCATTTTTGCTTTGTGGTATGTCCAAAGTAAGGCCTTTACTTTGTATAAAATAAGTGTTGACATTTTTGTGATTTAGGTAGCATTTGATTATGGTGAGCCAAATGTTTTAAAAGTAAAAACAAATTACATAAGATACATATTATTACAAAAATACAATTATTACAAAATGTATTATTATATTACATATTATATTATACATAAATATTTTTAATTCATTATAAAATATTTTTAATTCATCATAGTTACACTAAACTGCAAAACAGGAAAACTGTACTCTAGTCTGAGCATGTGACACTCTGGCCAGTGTCTGTTGGGGCTATTGTGACACTGAGACAGCTCAATTCATCACTTTGCAAATTAAATTTTGCACATAACACACAGGGGGTCAAAGTTGTTAAGGAACAAAAATGAAAATAATATTTGTTTTTGAATAGTAATTAGGGGAGTAATTGAATAGGCACTCCATTCAAGGTCCTAAGTGACTTTATGATGCGGTAATTGCAGCCCTTTCATTACACTGCACACATTAGTATCAATCTGAGCTGACATAACTGGAACTCGGGCTTCTTTTCCAGGCCTGATTTCCTTTCAAAAATGAGTTTCAAAATGCAAATTGATATGGTCTCACTCTTGCTTTAGTCTGTAGCTTGGCCCTTGCTGGTATTTATACAGAGTTGCTATGTACTTGTTATTGGAGCTCCTCAGTGAGATTAAACATAATTATGTTACCCAGCAGTAAATTAGGCCTTTCATTTCCCTGAATCATGCTGGCTGTGTCCCGCTGGCAAATGACGACCTTCAAAAGAAAAGGCCAGGAGGATGACTTCCAACGCTAGTTAACTTTGAAAAGGTTAAGGTCATTGCATGTTTTTTGCATTGTTATCTCCGCAATGATTCAGGCAATCAGACACATACTTAGCATTTAATTAAATTTCCTTTTGATTTATTTTCAAACGGAATAGGCGTTAAAATGTCAGGCGGCAGATAAAGGTATGAATTAAAGAATACGATTAAGCCCTAACAGGGCGGTATTTTCTTGAGCAAATGTTGACACTTATCTTGGAAGACCTATTGCAAGTGCCATGAAATAAGATGTCCTCTATCAAATGAGAGTTAACATGATACATTTGTTTTCAAACCTCATTTGCTGTAGAGGTTGTGGACTTTATTGGTAAAAAAAATACAGTAAGTACAGATGAGTCGTTTGAAACATGTAGTCCAGAGCCTTTCTCAGAAACTCTAACAAACTTGTGGCAGACTTGTGCGTGGGAGTTTACTTCTTTTAATTGTGACAGACACAGGATCTTCTTATAAGTGACCCACTGCCTATTTCCTAGTTGTCTGCACAATCTGCCACCCTGACATGTCTTTCAAACTGCTAAACTCTAGCTGTGCTTCGTTTATCGTTGTCACATGGTCTTTGCACCTGTCGTCCTTGCAATTAGTTTCATGATGGCGAGAATGCTGACTGGAAGCTGTTTGACGGTGAGGGTAATGAATGTTAAACAAAGAAGTAATTACAGCCACAATCCAGGCTTCAAAGAAGATGAAGAAAAAAATGTAGTGTCTCTAGGGAGCATTTATGTACACACAGGTGGCAAACATTAGGCCATCTTTTTTAGTATAATTACCCCAAGCCTGAATATATCACTTTGATTTACACAGACTATGCAAATTTGCTGACTCTGTGAGGAAGAGCATCGAACAAGTGCACCACACGACTCTCGCACGGGAAGTTCAGGAAGCTCCGCCCATTCTCTGTTGTTAGCTGGGATACCTCTCCCCGTCACTTAAAAAACACAATTGGAGCTGTAATCTGCGTTTAAGTGCAGGCTGTCCATTAGCTGCTAGTCCTGCTGCCAAGCGAAACGAAAAAAGGCGTTCTTCCATGTTTGATCGACTTTTAAACACGGCTACTTAGGGGCTAGGCCGTAAGTGACATTAATTGCCTAACTGGGAAAAAGGAATTACCTCATCATGTGAGGCATCTTGAGGATGAAGCTGCGATGTATGGAGTGGTGGGATCAATAGTGGTTAATGGTACGAAAGCGATTCCTGTAATGGCGTATAATTCTTCTGCAAAAAGATGACATTTGAAAGTATGTAAAAGGAATATTTCACTGCGCACCATACATCAGCGTTATTTCCCGGTGACATTCAGGATGAACTGCACATAAGAGTAGTTTTTAAAGTGGAAAACACTCGTTGGGAAATGATGCTTAAAATGTTATGTCCCAGTTAAAAAATAAATGTCATCTCATCTATAATGACTCCGCAAATGCATTGGTATGAGCTGTCTGTATAATATCCACAGTGGATGGTAATAGCCATTAGTCAAAGGTAAATTCCATTACGTGTGCAGTGTCCGATGATGTGACTCTTCTTTCTCCAGGAAGTTAAAAGGACCTGAGAAACTGGAAGTGGACCCCAGCAAACACTCGGGTGTAGATCTGGCTAATATCGTACAGAGGGAGAAGCCCACCACTCAAGGCCCTCTGAAGTTACACCAGGTGGTTCAGGCGAAATGCCAGTGTGAAGACTTTGAGGATGACCCTGAGGTTCCACCTTTAATATGACAGAGATTTGCTGACATTTGTCAACACACCAAAAGCCTCATATCTTCAGTGTTATGTGTAAGTGGAGTGTACAAATCCGACTTTAGGCGTCATTGTCTATCTGATAGAGAAAAAGCTACAGACACTCAGTAATCCACTTATTTTCACAATCCCTAATAGTTGAGTTTTCCTGTTGAACATCAAACAGAAAAGTTAAATGAAAATAACAATGCTCTATAACTTCATACTTTTATACATAGAAATAGACATTTAACAACAAATACATTTTTGGCTAGTACAAAGTCTATCAATGTGTTCAAGTTTTTTTCCCAACATCATTAGTTAGAAGATAATTAACATTAATTTAAAACTAGAACATGTTTGCTGTACTTAAGGTACTTAAATTGCTGAATGAAGCCGTTTACCCTTGATGTATAATTGTATACATAATCCATCTAAAGACATGAGCCAGCTAGAATTCTACCAGACGACACAATGCACAGTGTTTGTGCATATCTGAACAAAATCGTTTTCTATGAATGCATGAAATAAATGAAATATGCACACATAATTTATACAAACTTTAAATTACTACTTTGGTGTAATCAATCTGTCAAAATGACGGAATCTAGTGTTCTCTTTGTCTTTGGGCCAGAGCTGTGCATTCTCTCCTGAGGAAAATCAGCAAATCGCTGCCTCCTAGAGGTTCATAAACGCAGTGAAGACCACCCACTGACAGCCTGTGACAGGCTATGCAAAATGTCCCTCTGTCTAAGAGTGTTATTAGTTAAAGCTTACATTTTAAATAGCTGGGCAGTCCACAAACATCATGATTGGCATGTTTTGATGCACAGCATTATTAGAAGTTCTCTGCTGAATCTTATGGGGCAGGTCAAGTGCTTTTAGAAATCTTGCTTTGATTTCGAGTGGGCGTGACATTGACTGAGGGAATATTATCTGGATTCATCTGCAGCAGTCAGGAACAGCTGCCCACATCCAACATACAATAAACTACTAGTGCTTGTGTCTGTTCTTTTCATCAGTGGAGTCTTTGTGATGTGCACCCTCGAGGACTACATGCTATGCATATTCTGCTGTATAACTGTTAAGATTTACAAAATTCATTATGTTTTACACACCGTATATTGCTGTGTCTTACTACCTACATGTTTCACCATTCTTAAGTACTGTTAAGAACTTCTTAAAAAATTCTTTCCCACTCTATTTGTCCACCCAGTGCCAGCCAGAAGCAGATGGGCTCCCCCTCTGCCCCGGGTTCTGCTCAAGGTTTCTTCCTATCAGTCAGGGAGTTTTTCCTTGCCACTCTCACCTTTGGCTTGCTCTGAGGGGGTATCGGGCCTGGAATGCTGATGTAAAGCTGCTTCGTGATAACTCATGTTGTAAAAAGTGCTATATAAATAAACTGAATTGAAATTGAAATTAAATTGGAGTGCAGCAAGCAGCACACACCAAAACACTTTGTTACAGAGAGCAATTGTTGGAATGGGGCTCGCCCTCTGTGTCGCTTTTTTTTCTCCTTCTGATGTTTTTCACTCAAGCCGCGTAACCCCCTCCCGAAGCTTGTCCAGGTGAATTTCCAGACTTACCCCTGATCCACAAACAAAGCGAGGCCGTATCAAAAGGAGCTGCTCCTGTCAGAACAAAGTATCAGCGCACTTTCTTTGGTATGTTGTGAACCCATACCAACTTTCCTCCTTTTTGTGTGTGGGTTGACAAATTGGTGGTTTGAAGTCGTGCCTTCTCATCGCACCAACTGCTCTTTATTGTATGACTCCGCAATCTGTTGTTGGCCCTCTGTAACCGGAGGACTTGTTCCTGTGATAAACTGCCGTCCTAAGCAGCCAGAGTGGTCCTCCTCGCCCCAGCCTTTCCCCTAATTAATAATATTTCATTCATGATAGATTATTGTTTCAGAAGTGAAAGCCTGCATCTCTCACAAACCAGACGTCCCACCACAGTTGGGTATTTCATAGATGCACTGGGCCACATAATAGCCACACCACTGTTCTTTAGGCAAGGATATTCTTTAGTAAGCAGCAGTGTAATGTAGTGGTAAGGAGCTGGGCTCGTAACTGAGAGGTTGTTGGTTCGATTCCCTGCTGTGGCACTGCTGTTGTACCCTTGGGCTAGGTTACTTAACCTACAATTGCCCCAGTAAATATTCAGCTGTTATAAACATGTAAAACTGTAACCTATGTAAGTCACTCTGGATAAGAGCATCCACTGAAAATGACAATAATGCAATGTAAAGGCTGAAAAAGATTTGGAAACTGCGTCAAACAAGACTCGTGGGCAAATTTAGCTCACTGACAGTTGTCCCATTTCTGGAAGTATAAAAAGAGAACGCTTGTCATCTGATAGATTGTAAAGAACATCTCTTGCGGCTTACATTTTCACAGTTTGGTTTTCACTCAAACTGATTGCTTGCAATTCTGAGAGGCATTCCCAAAGCAGCATGCCAGTTTATGGGGGGGGCACCGTTCATCCAGTATCGGGGCAGGACAGTAAACATATCAAAGGCTGTATGTCAGCCGATGATGATGCCATAAACCCATGTCGTCTCCCTGGTCATTTTGAGCCGTGATCATTTATGTCATGTTTACAAGATCACGTTTGCAGGGCCACTGCCACGTGCCACTCATTAGTGCCAAGTCTAAACAGAAGCTTTAATCAATGGAGAGGAGGATGCATAATTCATGGGGGGGTGTGAGTGAGACAGTTATATCAGCACTTCTGGCAGGACGGGCCTGTGGCAGTCAGGCCCGGTGCTCTGTCCTTCACCCCCCTCCCGCGCTCACCTTCGTGTCAGCGGCAGTGGCTGGGGATTCATGGCACTCAATAATGCGGCTGTTAGTCCACTGTACTTCTTTATGACAAGCTCCAGAAACCCGAGACAGCTGCAGTGACTGAGTCAGTCGAGTCCCATACAGTAGAGTATTTATCTCCCTCTTTGTATGTATGAAACTATCTATCTGTCTGTATGCATGTATGTATGTATGTGTATGTTTATCTATGTATCTGTCTGTCTGTAACTCTGTCTCGCTGTCATATTTTTATAGACAACATAAGCTTCACAGTTTACACTGGAAACAATTTTTTAGGGTTAAACACCCACACACACAGAATTGTTAACTGGTCCCAGATGCAGATAACGGACTTCACTGAATCTTATGGTAGGGTAAGATGCATCAAATCCTTGCCCTGGGTCAGCTTCAGCTTTTTCAAGGTAATGCTTGGGGTCAAGGTCAAGCTTCAGTGAACTGATCCTGGATCAGCGCTCAGTTGCATTACCTTGGGCAACTCATCCATTTCAGAACTTAATAATAGTCACAGACATGTTTGAAATGGACACAAGCACTGGTGAGTGGTGTTACGTCTTGCTCTAGTAAAATGATAAGTGGCACTTAATGGATTGCAAGGCAGCGGAACACTTATTGACGCGATTCCCTCTGGTGGGCTCTGTGGGACCACATAAGTTGTAGCACCCATAAATACCCACAGTGCCGTCTGTCGATGATGCCCGTTTTGTAAAATTGATTCCGCAAATGACTGCATGGGTAACACGAGTCTCATCTGGATGTGTTTTTCATATCAATGATTCAGCGTTTGCGGAGCCCGCTGTTTAAACGAGCTCCCGCCGCAGTGTGGGGATCGCATTTCCTCCCCGCCTGTCTCCTGTTTGCCGTGGATGCTTCGCTGTTGCTTCTAGCGGGAAAGTCGCGGACAGGGCAAATGGCGCACTCCCCGTCTCCCCTGGCCTCGTCGCAACCCGTCTCCCTCCATGACCTTCGGAGCGCGCAAGGACATGTTGTCAAAAAGCGATCTGGGGTGACGGACGGATGCCGTTCATCACGTCTGCCGCAGTAATAGCTTCTCACATTTGTGTCAGTGCGTATTATGATTGATCCCATCAACCCCAGTCGCTGCTTTCATAGGGCCGGTATAAGGCAGCCACCTCAGGTATTCCGCATTATAAACTACTGACAGCATTTGTGTGGCCACTAGTTCAAGAATCGCAGTGGAGATGAAGAGAGAGAATGTGTGTCTTGTGTCCTGCAGTGTTGAGGGGCATGGAACCACAGCAAAAGGTCGGTGTAATTTACAAGGAAATGAGACTTAATGGAATGGCTGAATAAAATGAGAATGAAAAAGAATGAGAATGAAAGGTCGGTTGTTAGAGCAAGCATTTCAAACACTTGGGGCATGTTACTCTCTTCCACAGAATGGCAAAAATGATAATAAACCATAATGCTCCTGATAATGACTGAATGGGGGTAAAACGTTTTTAAATTCTTGGAGGAAAAAATAATAGCAGAATACACCCCTCATTCGGTAGAGTTTCTCATACCATACAGTGTACCGTGTTAAATGAAATCTGGCAAAACCAGAAGCAAACATTCTAATAATGTAGCATTTCATGTGTCATGCAGATAAAACGTTGAAGAAAACAGGAACACGCGAAGATTTCATCAGTCTTGATGTCTTGGAATTGATTGCATGTTTCCTGTTTTCACGGAGCCCTAGACGATGAGGAAGGACATGTATTACCACGCACGCACACACAGGCAGTGCTGTAAGCAGCTGTTGATGAGACTGAGGCTAAGGCTCTGTCGACCCGGTTACCTGCATTTCTCCTCTAAAGTCTCTAGAACTCTTTAAAAATGAGAAAAGTTGTAATATTTACAGTGAGTCAGGAGGAGGAGGGGCGGGGTTTGATGGCACCGCAGGTCCCGCGCGAGCATGTTTTGAGTTTAAAGCAAAGCGGTTATAAATTTCAAACCCACGAGGGCTGTTTTCTCACTCCGGGCGAGGCAGGACCGACAGCTTTATTTGCACATTACTCACCGTGTGCCAGGCAATGTTCCAGCGCACATCAGCACGTGTGAGGACACCTCCTGTCCCCGTGGACCGTATTTCATGCCAGCTGTCTCCGTCACGCATGACCTTCAGCCACAGCCGTGCAGGTACCCGCTCCGGGGAGACGAGGGGGAGAGCAAAATCCCACAGATCACCTGTAGTAAACCTGGCACGTCTCAATTCCCTTTACTCATTGCCTGATTCCTGTTATGATCACGAATCCCCACATGCCCACACACTTTTTCCGTAGAATATCTCCCCAAATGGCAGTGATTTTTCACAGGGTGACTGCGAAACCTGCCGTTAACTCTTTAATTTCACATTTGAATTATGAGTTCACAGTAAGACGTAAAATGTGCGAGTTATCATTCGTGTAATGGTCAATTCCCCACGCTTCCTGTTCGCCCGATATTCCCAAAAAAATAGCTTCCATAATTGGCGCTCATTTGGAGATCTGCAGAGTTGCACACATTAAATCAAGAATACTGGTGTGGTCGGAAGAGTCAATCGCTTAGCATTGGAAATTGCAGGCATAAGTGTCAAACGCATTTCATACTGCATTCGTAAATAATGCAAATGCTCGGTGTATGACTCTTAGACTATAAAGATAACACACTTTGCATCTGTGTTGTTCTTTCTGATTCATTTAACAGCATAATGGGGTCAATAAAACAATTATGATAGGGCTTGAAAAACGATTTCCCAGATTACTGGATGCCAGGAAGCAAATAAATTAGAGCAAATTGTTCAATTACACTTAAAGAAGCCGTTTCCCACCCCATTTAACAATATCGAATATTACCCTGGCGTTTGTTAAATTAGAAGGTTATTCCTGAACAAAAATGACCCATATTTATTTAAACTGCAATATGTTTTGCTTTGTAAACCTTAAGTAACTCTGACAAATGATTATTTTACTTACTTGCAGAAAGTTTCCACTGTGCCGGTTACTGAATGTTACAACAAAAATGTTAAAGCAATGAGGAAAAAAAAAAAAAAAAAAAAACGAAACTACATTGAAATTCAAAGTGCATTGCAGTTAGATTACTCAGGGCATGCTGAAGAACACCAAGACAAATTGTTTTGTGGAAATTCAAGCCGAACGTTGTGAAGCGTGTTCTTTCAAACTGCTAAGGCACAAAAGCATACAGTTAGCATGCAAACTTTTGAGGAACATGACCAATCCAGTCTTTTAAATGGTTATGCTAAACCACAACAAGTTAAATTCAGCAGGTGATTTTTGTCTAGTAATGTGTGTGTGTACGTGTGAAGCTAGTTTTAAGGGATCTTAGTGAAAAAACATGACATGTTGATGAATTATTGATATGCAATGTTTGTGTGTGTGCACTGTGAGGATGAATCTCCTTTCAGGGTATGTCTAGACACTGAGAGTGTTTGAAGATGCAAAATGTCTGACCAATCAGCTAAGCCATTTCAGACTGAATCCTTTTCTGTTTTAAGAAAGAGGTTAATTTAAAAGGGTAAGAGTTATCTGGTGAAACGAGGAACTGAAGAAGCATTCTACCACCATCATGTTCATCAGACTGAATCCCAGGGTAAGGTTATCTGGTACTGAAGAAGCATTCTACCACCATCATGTTCACAACGATGAATATGCAGCAGCTCCAACACCTCTGACCTTAAAAAAATGTCCTCTAAAAGCACCATTATCATCCCTGGGACCTGTGAAGCACCTGGTACTTAATGACTGTATTCCAGCTCTAAAAATCCTCTTAACCCCACCCCCAAAACTCCCCCTGGAAACCCTCTTGTCGTGACGGCTGTATTATTCGAATCGGAATACACGCTAAGGAATTTCATTACTCTGTGTCCTGCCCATTATGAGGGATTGTTTCCGCTGCGCTGGGCGTCTCTGTAGGCCCCCCGCCTGTCACTTTGATTTATCGGCGCGCCGGTGACTCGCGCAGGAAGCCTCGCTCCACCTGCCAGGTGCGATTCTCCCGCTGCCGCTCCGTCCACGCGACCTGCTGACCTCCCGACCTCCCCGAGGACCGGTCCGGATGGCTCTCCGCCTCATCTCCCGGAAGATGGATTGTACCCAGAGAGGTTGGGGGGGCGGGGCGGGGCTTTGGTGGGCTGACTGCTATTCAAGTGGCTGATGGCCACCACACCCCCCGCACCCACCCCAAGACCCACAGTTTGTGCTTTTGTGAGATTAGGTGTCCCTCGGCAGGAGCCAGTCACTGCGGGGATCCAGCTCACTCCTTGATATTATTTAGCATTTGCC